ANATTTGATAGGTCGAAAAATGTGCGCGTTTTATATGTTTAATAGTGTATTTTTGTATGCTTAATTTATTCGCACATTTATATTTTTCGACCTATTTATTATTTGGATGGATTCATATACATTGATATTTTTATATTTATTTTCAGTATTTTTGAGTATGTTTGTGGAGCCGAAGCATTGGACAAATATTCACGTGAGCTATTATCGGACGGGCCCGTATCAACCCAAGTTCTTTGATAGAGTTAAAAAGCTAATGGAGTTAAAAGCCCAAATATATTGGTTTGAGATCAAATAAATACAAAACAAATAATGGATCATAATGACTCCATTCACGCAACTCAGGCTGGCTCAATATTAATTGTGAGACTTAATTAATTGCTGGACACTTGGTGAGATTTGGATTGGCACACACTCCACATTGGGTGGATTTATTTGCGAAAGAAAAGTCGGGGAGGATTTTATTTTTTAGAGGAGAGCCGCGAGCAGAAAAGAAAAAGGCCGTACAGAGAAAAAGAAAAAGGAGCGGAGCAGATACAGAAGAAAAACGCAGACAGAAAACTCACACGCGGAGGGAAGCCGCACTCGCACACAAGGGGAGAATATTATTTTCTTCTCTTTTATTTTTATTTATTTTTATTAGTATGTTAGGTTAATATTTTTATCCAGTTTGAGGGGATGTTTGAACCCTAACTTTGATTTGTCTATGGATTGAAGGATTTATTTTTATCGTCGATTAATCGAGATGCCGTATTTATTTTTGTTGATGAGTTGATTCATGTTATCTGTGTATAATGTTTATGAATTATGGTGTTTAATTTAGTCTGGCCAACTACGTTAAATATTCATAGTTTAATTGCTAGATTCGAGGCTTTAATCCGTAATTGTTATTGTCTCGTTTCATTAGTAGTAAACTAGGGGTCGTGCATCTCTAGGGTAGCGTGAACATAAGTTAAATGGTCCGAGCTTTTGCGTCCATTGCTTAGACTGATCTATTTTCCTCGTAATTAATGCTGCTAGTGTATTAAATCTAGAGAGCTTATTCTAGGTTGTCCGCTAGTTAGATTTAGTCGAAGAGCTTATTTCGATTAAATATTCGGTATGGAAAAATTCGGTTAACAGAGCTTGTTGTTAGCTAGGGTCGGTAATTCGTTAGCAATTTAAAGAAAGCGTCGAAATTAATTAACGGTAGATTTAGATTGGGTGATAACTGAACCGAAAACTGGACTTCTCTTATTTTATTTGATCTCTTATTTTATTTATTATTTTTATTTTTATTTTTATAAAACCAATCCCCCCACCTTTTATTGCTTTCTTAGTTTAGTTCAATTAATACGAAATTATCGCAATTTAATTCCTGCTCCTCGTGGGATCGACCCTTACTCGCCGCTACTACTAGTTAGTAGGGGTTAGTTGAGGAAAATAATTATAAATTTAAATTTGCCGCGTTGCGACGCGCGGTCAAAAATTTGCAAAACAAAATATTATATATTTATTTTTTTGAACGTCAAATGACACCAACATAAAATATTTTTGCATTGTACACCATTAATTTATATTTATGTAGCAAAATATTATATATAGATTGAATTGAAACAGAAACACCACTACACTAACTGCAAGTTGAAAAATAATTAAATATAATATTAACATAAATATCAATTCATGTATAATATATATATATAACTTTTTGTACAAAAAAAATAAAACGGGACAAACGGGACGGTTCGGGAAAAAAATATTAAAAATCGATACCGACATTGTTTCAACCGATTCGGTACCGGGAATGGAACGAAAATTTTAAAAACCAATTGGAACCCTATGTTTTTGGAACGGGACCATTTGTCCGGTTCGGGATCGGAAAATCCGGATTTTTTGCCCACCCCTATGTACGTGTTGCTTTTGGGGATCGAATACTGCTTAGACTTTCAAAAAGGAATAGAACCAAACCACCATATTTTGTTTAGGGCTAAGAACAATTAATTGCTAATAATCGCTGATATTCCAAAATTAAGATACATAATTTTGTTATTTTCTTATACCCCTATAAAAGTATGTTAAACATTAAGTTTGACGTTGTCCAACATGAGAGGTTGTAAAATATTTCTACCATTTTTTATTTAAGTCGACGGTTAGTAGAGACGCAAAAGACAAGACATTATCACTTAATTGATAGATTGATTCGCCTAATTTTGACTCTCCCCGTTTCTACTGCAACAACAAAACGATCATTTATAGCTATAAAACTTCTCAAAATTCCTATTCGGAATAAGATGGAAGAAGACTTCTTAGCATATTCTATGATTGTCTACATCGAAAGAGAGTTTACTTTGAAGATCAACACAGATTCAATAATTGACGAGTTTTATAGTATGAAGAATCGGAAGGCGCATCTTAAATAGGTAACCTTTATTTGTTTGTTTGTTTGTTTTTTTCCTTTTTAAATAGTTGTAATGAACATGAAGAATTTTATATGCATTTGTCAATAAAAACTTATTTTCTTTTTTTTTTCTTTATTAATTTTTATCACATTATTTAAATTATTCTTATAACCGATCAGCCCAGGATATTTTTTTTTTTCTGGCTACGCCTCTGACTATGTTTGACCATCAATTAAAAGTTTAGCCATCAATAGGTTAACTAATTGTGAGACCATTGCTTTTAGCTTTTAGGCCACATATACTTACATTTGGGTCGTGGTTCCTTGTCTAAGTTGGGCATTCGTGATCTCCATGCTCCAACTTAAGGAGGAGTATTTAGAAAATATTTTGTGAATATTATTATTCAATAAATGTGGCAGAGTTATATTTCTACTAGGACTCGGATATTTTTTTTTCAAATCTTGTAACTTCAGCTGTAACTGAGTTGAAAATAATGTAGAATACCTTTTCTCCACTTTTACACCATAAGTTTGTCTCAACTTCAATTTCAATTTGAGTATGTTGATTTGCAACCTTATCCAATTTTGAGACATACCCGAACCGCTATGGCACCTATTGGCACCCGAACATGTGCATTTGAAACCAATGACAATGCATTGTGCAATTCATTCATTGGTTTAATATCATTTATTGTGGCAGAAAACATTAACTTATAACTAAGTTTTCTTAACAGATACTCAAACGAGCTAACTACTAAAAGGCATTATTAAGAGAAATCATTTTAACCTTTGCAAAGCAGCACTAAGATTAGTTTCTTCCTTGTAGTTGAATACTTCATCGAACCCCAGCTCCTTTTTCAGAAATTTGACCTGCATAACGCATACAATTGTGTACTTGTGCCAAAAATTACACATATTTTTTTAAAAAAAATAAGAGGCATACTTATCCTCAGGGACGAATTTAGCTTTGGCTTGAGTTGGGCTGAAGCCTAAGCCTGTTGTAACTATAAGTTTGAGAAAAAATGTATTATATTTTTAGCTCATTCCAACAAACCAACCCACTAACCCATCAAAATAATTCAGTTATTGATCTAATAAAATATTATATATTGTTGATCCATCTTTTTTACTGGGCATTAATCCACAAAATGCCACTATACACTAAACTCCAATTAACTAAATTAGACATGGCCATGCCCATCCTCTGACTACCAGAATAATGAATTTAGAGGAACAAAATAAAAAGATATTATACAAGAAAGAGACTACCTTCAAGAAGACGATTTATTTTCTTCTTTAATAGTAAGTTATATATTTGAACTCCCTATTAGATATTTGTTTAATTTGTCTAATTGTCTTTATCTATATTCTCATTTTAGATGAGCTATTTAGGGTTTTAATAATAATTGCTCGGATCATTTAGTTGCAATTCTTCTTTTGTTGATTGTGTATGAAGTAGTAATTGTGTGTGTGTGTGTGTGTGTTCATATATCCTCTAGTTTGGTTGTTGTATATCAAATTTAGATTTAAATTTATGATGTGTAGTCATTTTCATTTTGCTAATAACTATAAAAAATTAATTTATTTGTATTGTGAAATCTTTAGAAATTCACGTGAAGCACCAACATTCATGCAATAAAGGAAACACCTCATTGATATTATCGTTCTTTAGAAAACGGGATCGACGTCAAACTAGTGAAAATACATCAAATACGGTGCAAATGAGCATAATGAATTTTATTTGTAAAAGCTCGTTGAATACGACTTCAGTGAATATTTGAAGAAAAAAATATTATGTAATTCTTATAAAAATGAGTTTATAATTCTAGCTCAGTCTACTTTTGATTTCTGTATCCGTCCCTGCTTATGCGCTATTAAGTGTTCTTGTACTATTGCTTTTTTATATTACACATTACATGAAAAAAAAATATGTATATTTGTTGAAAACGTTAATAGCGTTCTTGTACTATTGCATTTTTATATTACACATTACATGAGAAAATATATATATATATATTTATTGAAAAAGTATAATGGTCAAAATCGTAAAACATGCCTAACAACACTCCTTTAGACAGAAAACAAAGAATGGTAAGTAATTACCTTTTGTTTAGTCCCGGCACAGCCAACAACATAGCAGCCGAATAACTTAGCATACTGCCCCACTAAAGGGACATTGGATATGGTTTGAATAGTAAAAAAACTAATTAAAATTTAAATTTAACTTAATTTTAATCTAATCCCACTATCTCTAACATTATTAATATAATTAAAGAATATCAAATAATCATTTTTACACATCACATCAACTTTAATTCACTATTCATCCACTCACCTAATTTTAACTAATCATCACTTTTCAATTATTTTCCTCTTATTTCACATCAAATCAATTTTAATTATTTTATTTAAATATTATTTAATATATCTACTAACAACTAATCATACCACCTTTTTTAAAAAATAATTATAATTAAAAAACAAACTAAATAAAAACCAGTTGAATCCATAAACAATCACACCCTAAGTTACCAACCGAACCACAATCANAAATCCTTTCTCCCCTTTCTTAGGCTTGCATACTTTAAAAAATCCTCCATACGCTGTAATGCCGCTATAACCTACAATTATATAGTACATACCATATACATTGTAATGGTAATTTATTTTCGTAATATATCTAAACTAATTGAAAGAAAAATGTAAAACAAAAAATAAAAAAATCAATTACAAATAATTTTTTATTTTCGTAATATATCTAAACTAATTGAAAGAAAAATGTAAAACAAAAAATAAAAAAATCAATTACAAATAATTTTTGACAGGGTGCTTGTAAATGTCAAAAAATAATTAACAAAAAATGGACCTGAACTACGATTGACACTCATTCTCAAGAAAATATGTACTTAATTATATATAATATAAGGTAAAGATGCATATCTACCTAGAATTCCAGCATAATAGGGGAGTGGAAATCCCATTTTATCATCCAATTTTTGCAACATGGGTTCAACTCCACTTGGTACAATTGTATACTGTGCCCAGCTCAGCATTCCAAACGCAAGATCCCCTGTTTTAAAATCCGGATGCACAGAATCTAACACTCTTCCTACTCCAACCGAAGGAATTGCCTGCCAAAATTGAGAAAGCATTTTATAATAAGCTGGTGATAGTTTTGTGCAATTTATTCCAAGTAGCCACGTTTTTTTTTTTTTTGTTGTAGCAAATTATATTTTTAAATACCGAGTACGGGATGATACAATTGGTATTGATAACATAAAAAAGAAAAATAAATCCTAAACACTCTAATCAGAACGGGGGTTTGAATAATTACCAACTACGAATAATATAAAACAATAATCTACCTAAAAAATATAAACGAACAAAGATAGAGAAGGTAGGGAGTCATGGATAATTAATTCAAGTTCTTTTAGCAAAACGGGCAATTAATCGTTCGGTTCTAGATTGACATTCTTGCTTAATCATCTAGCGGTTCGCTCCCAATAACTCTTCGTAACAAGGGATTGAACATAGACGAGTAAGCTTGAGCATACAACACAAGCCCATTATCCCAATCCCAATAACTTTTCGTAACAAGGGACGGGTCATCGACAAACACGTATTTCAATTCAAAACCTATAGACTATTCAATTAGGAAATCATCTATCTCATGCGAGCCTAAGTCTACGACTTCTCCGCTTTCGGTTTTAAAAATCGCTAATCAAATTAGAAGAGAATTAATCAACTAACCATTTAGAATCAACAAAACCCTAACTCGACAAATCAACATTCAATTGATACCAATTGCAAGATCGAAGTGTCACTCTTCGATTATATCAATCAATCAGGGAAGAATTCATGAATCCCTAATTAAATCAACTCACATAAGCATGAACATATCATAGCCCGACAAATACAATTTAAACAAGAACAATCATCTCCTATCCCTAGCAATAGGAATTAGCTACGTAAATCAAATTCAACACAATAAATCATGTCTCCGCATTCAACCATTTTCATGAATTAAATAAGAGAAAGAACTTACAATTAATCTCAATTCAAATGTTGAATCCCAAATACAAGCTTAATCCCTAGATGTTAAGAAGAAGAAAAAGAAAAATGGAAAATAAAGGTGAAAAGAAGAAGAAAAACGAAGAAGAAGAAGAAAGGGAGGAGAAGAGAGTTTTTGCGTTTTTCTGGACCTAGGTGTTCGTCCCTAGTAAGGGGAGATTTTTTTCTGATCGAGTCCCACACAAATATATAGGTAACAGGTATCACGGCGTGGAGAACATGTGCCGCGGCGCGAGGGAGCTGTGCACCGCGGTGTGGTGCTGTGCCGCGGTGTGGAGGGGCAGGCCTGGGGCATCTCTGTTCGCACGTGATGGACACCACGGGATGTGCCGCGGCGTGAGGAAAGTCTGTGCCGCGCCGCGGAGGGGTTTCGCGCCGTGAAGAAGTGCTGGTGTCGCGCTGCGGTGCGTTGGACTGCTGCATGACTTCGTTTCTCGAGCTCGTTTGGACTCGTCCGAACTCGAACTTTGATTTCGTTTTTTCTTACGCGTCGCCAACTAAGCCCTATAATTATTGATGCTTTTAAATCCAACTTATTCTTGAAAACCTATTCTCTCAAAGCTTTTGACTTGAAGGTGACGACTTCCGTGCACGACTTCACATATCGGGCCCGTCCGGACTCGTCCGAACTCGAAATCGAATTCCGCTTTTTCCTACTTGTAGCCAACGAACCCATCTATTTAATGTTGTTCACCCGGCCCACTTATCATGAAAAATAAATTCTCCTGAAACTTTCGACCTGCACACCATAAACGAAGAAAAACCGGAAAAACATACGGAAAACACAAGAAAAACAAAGATAGAGGAAAACACGCAATAAACTACAAAACGAGATAAAAACTAACTAAAAGACCTAATATGGGGGAAAAAGAAAGGAAAAATAACAAGGAAAAATGCAACCAAAATAGGACAAACACATACCTCAATAAATACTTTAAAAAAGTGAAAATGATTTTTTTTGCAGTGCAATGACTTATTCGGTTGATCCACAAGTACCTGTCCAGGTAAAATGGGGGGCAGGATTTGATTCGAACTGTACTTTTGGCTCTTCATGAGGTTTAGGTGATAAGGGTCCACAGAGATGTACAAATTTTTCACTATTAGGAGATTATTAGTGTGGTTGTTCGCATCGATTTTCAAGGGCACCATTTCCTCCTTAACGGCAAAGTGTGTCACATCGGGAGCTCCATCTATATGTCATTTTGTGACCACGAACTTGTTTGAAGTGACTTCCATTTTTTGTTTCTTTTTTGGGAAAGTCGAGCTGAATAAGGCTGGTGGAAATCAGTACAATAGAAATGTTATCTTTAATACAGCTATTCAAGATAAGGTGGTATGGGAGTATGTATAATAACAGTTGTGATTTAATAACAAGGCTAGCTAGTTCCGCCCATGTGCATGTCTGATTTAATAAGGAGTCCACGCATTCGATGTGGATTAAAATAATTAAGCGGCCAGATCGAAAGGGTTGTCTTAATTAATAATTATTGCAAATGGATGATTGATCTATTATATGTATGGAACCAAGACGAATNATAAATATGTTGATTTTTATGTTCATATTACATGCATTAATTGCATTTTTGCATTAATTACATTAAAAGTTAATAACTTTTGTATTTTTTTTTTTATCAATTTTACATATATAATATATCAAGGTAATCATCTCTTGATGAACTTCGATTTAACATCCATATTGTATGTATAAAAAAATAAAATTATATCTATCTTTATAACAATAATAAAATTATTTTTAATATTAATTAGAAAAATAAAATTATTTATCATTTAATATATTTATATTTCAAGTAGTTATAATGATATAAGTTATAACAATTACTATAATATAACACATGTAAGTCGCAAAAGTAACAATTGTCATTCTAAAACATATAAAAATATATATTTTTTGCAAAAAAGTTAAATAAAATTTAAAATAATTTTTCTCATTAATTTTAAAATTTAAAAATATTTTTTTAATAAGCACTCGTGTAATACACGTGTGTTGTGCTAGTAAATATTAAATGTGAAAAGAAACATTGTATGTGTGTGAGAATCCTTAGATGGTGTGTTTAATGCAGTATTCAAAAAGTCGCTAGGCGCTCGACCAGCGCCTAGTGCCTAGTCGGCGCCTAGAAATCAGTATTATATACCTGTTTTTATTTATTTTAACTACATACAAAATAAAACTATCTCAACTTATAATAATTCCATACACCTAAGTCCAAGTAATAATATTAATATATTTTAAAGAAAACATGAGAACAAAATAATGTATATAGTATTAAAAAAAAACAGAAAAATTGTCACCGAGCCAGTCTAGGAGCGCCTAGGTCCGCCTAGGCGCTGCCTAACCGCCTGGCCGCCGAGTCTGCCAAGTCCGCCTAGGAGCGCCTAGGGCTGCCTAAACTCGCCTAGGCGCCGCTTAGCTGCCTGACTGATTTTTTTGACCGATTTATGCAAATCAGAGGTGGCCGGGCACCTCCTAGCGCCTAGGCTGTCTCCTAGACCGATTTTTAGAACAGTGGTTTAATGTTGTAAGTAAAAAGTAAAAATAATTTTACAACTCTTTACAATGTTCTAACCGAACTTTAATTGATGTATGACTTCAAAGAGTTTGGTTAATAACTCTTACGTTTGAGTTATTTATTTGGACATTCATGAAGGAGAACATTAATGCATCTCTCCTCTTCATAGAATGAAAGCTAGCTTTATGAGCACTATAAATAGAGTGCATGCAAGCTTACGAGAAGACATACCAAGTGAAGTAAAAGAAAAGGAACATATACATATATTCTCTTTCATCCTAGAAACTGAGATTTTGATCGAGGTGAGTGTGTTAGATAGTGCAGTCCTCACACTTTGAGTCGTCTTATCCTGGGAGAAAAGATGTAGTACTCGTTGTATAGTATCGGGGCGTCTATTTCTTCAAGGCAAACAAATTTTCTGTGATTCGGCTATTCGTGTTCTATGGCAATATAGAACTGTTAGTTAAGTTTTTATTTTTACAATATATTTGTTTATTTACTAATAGAAATTTGGTTTCATCTCACGTTCCTATGGTTGATGTTTATGGTTTCTATTTACAAATTCTTAATACGTATATGTGTTGAAAATCGTTCTTAATTCACCATTTTATCATTAATTTCTACAACAATCTTCAAGAAGCAGATTTTGTGAATAAACGAGTTCAAAAGTGTTATACGTATTTGTTTTACTATTTTTTCTTTCTTCTCAATTTATCATTATGGCAAGTGGTTCTGGCACCATATCAATTAATGCTATGTTGAATTCAAAAGCCAATTTATCTGGTTTACCGGAAAAATTTTCGGGGCAATTTTGCAAACGTTAGTAACAACAAATGAAATTTTGGCTTATGATGAAAGGACTTTTGACGATAATTCAGGAGGCTAAGCCTGAACCAACTGATAATGATCCCAAAAAAACTGAAATTGCACAGTGGAACGAAAGAGATCAAATAGGTCGAGGAGCTATTTGTCAACTTTGTCAAATACGGTATTTGATGTTTATTGTTTTGATTCGTACATTGCAAAGTCGTTGTGGGATGAGTTGGACAAGAAATATAATACTGAAGAGCATGGTCTCGAAAAGTATTCTGTTTCTAAGTTCCTAAAATATCAGATGGCTAAAGGAAAGTCTGTATCTGAGCAGACACATGAATTGATCAACTTAGAACATTCCCTCGCTTATGCTGATATGAAACTTCCTGAAAAAATTTTGGTTATGTCAATTATTGATAAAGTTTTCAAAGCCGAGAGCTCGTAACGTATCTGTTTCGCTCGACACGACGCGTGTTGGATGTCACACGAGTCGTGTGAACCTGGGAGGCTAAAATCGTCACTTTCATCTCGTATGAATGCTCTTGGTTGGTTTTACGGCGTCTCAGGCGACTTCCGGTGATCGTACAGTGCCCAGATCATTGGACATGGAGGTTCCCGTTAGTAAGAAAAAAATCCGGCCATTTTTATCACTTCCGACAGCTGCTTCTCCTACTCGGTTTTCGGCTCTAGGATGGTTTTACACCGATAATATGGCGGCAGGGATCGTCTTAGTGGTCTGCAGCGGTTGGACATGGCGAGTTCCGACGGCTTCCGGGTGCCAGCTCCTTCTCCGGCGTGAGCATGGCTGGTGGTGTTCTTATCGGATCTCCGGTGGAGCGTTGGTCCGGCGGTCAGAAGTGTTCGATGCATCTAGCAGCGGCGAGGCTCCGGTTGCAAGCTTGGTCGAGCATGAGGGACTCCAAAAATGGCAAACATGGCGGACGTACGTGAAGAAGATGGTGAAGAAGGACATCTTTCAAAGTGAAATGACCACTATACCCTCCATTAATGTGATTTTGGGCCATAATGTTTGGGTTGCTGTTATGGACCATTAAGGGCTGATTTTTATGCCCAATAAACCAAATAAAATGGGCTATAATGTTGCTCTTGGTGGGGCTGTCTACTTGGGCCTTTTCCAATGCATAGCTAATACTCCTTTTATATCCGTTTCACGACGTTTTCAACTCAAAAAATTAATTCGACCTATTCCTGTCAATAGTCAAATAAAATACCTCATTATAGCTTAATAAAAATAGTTAAATAATTTATTAAATAAATAATAATTAATTATATATCAAACTTCGACGAAAAGGTCACAAAAATCACTATAAAATGCACGTGAAAATGACGCATGTCAGATATATGAAATTTGTTGTTCTTTGATATATTCTTTAGCATATGTTGCATAATTAGGCATGAGTAAAGATGTCACTAGGCTTTTGATTACGCTTATCACACAGCCCCATCAAATGAGTTGTGAGTTATAGGGTGAGACTATGTCATATTTATATTAAGTGTATGTAGTATGAATTATATTTATACTTTAGTTGTATAAATATATTTTTACCGTAGCCTTAGTAAGTCTAAGATGAGACTCTAACAAGTCGAATATGAAATAATCCTGATTTCACATCAAAGCCTTAAGCCGAATCTCGAGTGGGAGATAAATAATTAAGTATATTTATCAAGTGGCTCGGGTTAGATATTTGAGTAGTATGTGGACTAAATATTCGTATAACATAGTAGAGTGACATGCCATCATAGTGAGAGCTATGTTATGACGCGTATATCATACTGCGTGTGCTTTTCTACTACCATTAAGGATTGACAAATGATTCCTTACTTTGTCAAGGTGTGAATCTTATGGATTTTGTTGTCCAACTTTGTACGAAGCATTTTGACTTAGAATTATGGTATGAAATTGAGACTTAGTGTTGCTACTTTAATATGTCCACCAAGAGCTATGATCGATACAGTTTGAAGGAGCATGTTAGGAAAGTAACTAAGTTGAGATGAAGTTTCATTAGTGTCTAGGAAATAACTGATTCAACTTCACCACATTAGCTCGGGGTTATATTTGAAAATAACCATGTTGTGTATATAACATATAGGGACTGTGTATGCTATCGGTGACTTTTTGAACAGTTAGAGGTTGTCGTAAACATGGAAGTGTTGTGTTAGTTAGATGGTGACTTAATATAACACTGCTATTGTTGTTTTTTGTCGCACGCTCTATTACCCGTATAAGGCAAGAGATTTGTTAATAAAAATTTATGTTGATGATGTTGTCTTGGCTTAAGTGGTTGAGTGGGAATATTGTTGTAATTGACGTTACATTGCGTCAATTTAATTGTAACGTCCACTTAATTGTGGAATTGTTACATTGTTATCTCCATTAAGTATAAAGTTATGAAAGTGGGGTTACCACGCATGCAAACGGCTGGCTCGGCGGACCGCGGAGGCTAACGTGATAGGCACGGATAATGGCGCGCGAGACGACGCGCGCGAAAGAAGCGTGCCCGAGGAAACCGCGATCAAGCGCCATGCGTGCGAACACGCGTGCGGGTGCGACAACGCACGCCAGGGACACACCAAACCGGGCCGTGCAACGATCACGCCTAGTCTGAGGCAAGTCACGAGTCGGGACACGCAATTATCCATCATTGGTGCTTTCATTGAGAGTATCAATCACGTGTCCCGACTCGTGACTTGCCTCGGACTAGGCATGAGCTTCGATCCTCGGACTTGGTGCGGACGATTCGGTAATCGCATGTCCTGACTCGTGACTTGCCTCGGACTAGGCGTGAGCTTCGGTCCTCGGATGTTGGTGCGGACGATTCAGAGGTTAATCTCCTTATCTTCTCGCGATAGGTGTGGGGGCATTGATGTCTTCATTAAATAGTTGCATCATCTCAACTATAAATATGATGCTTTGTGCATATTGAAAGAAGACAATACGAGACAAAGAAAAATTAGAATAATATACAATAATCTTTATATAATGTCTTTCTCTTGTTAAGCCGAAACTATCACTAGGCGGATACTGGTGACTCTAGTAGCCAACGGATTAAAGATACAAGCAAGTTTTCGCTTCCGCTACATAAAGGTCAGTCTATATATATTTATAGGCAAAATTGCATATTAATACACCACCTCTCAGGTTTTTAAAATTTAATCACCATCTTTGAAATTTTGTAGATTAATACACCACCTTTACCATTTTTTCAAATAGATACATGAATGACGGTTCCTTTAACAAAAATCTGACATGGCATTGAGCCACGTCAATGGCATGTTAGATTTTCGTTAGAATTTTTTAATAGAACCGTCAATTATGTATCGATTTGCGAAAATGATAAAGGTGGTGTATTAATCTGCAAAGTTGTAAAAGTGGTGATTAAATTGCAAAAACATGAAAGGTAGTGTATAAATATACAAATTTACCTATATATATATATACATACGGATCTGCTCCCCTACCCATGGTGGGCAGAGAATTAATATGTCCACTACTTATGTGGCATGTACACATTGGGCATAAGTAGTGGGAGAGAATTAATATATCCAATATGTACATGCCACTTAAGCAGTGGACATATTAATTCCCCCCACTGTGGGTAGGGAAGCGCAGATCCCTATATATATATATATATATATGTTATATAAAACTACTAACAGAAACCAACGACAACGCATTGTGCAATTCATTAACAGGTTTCATACCATTTATTACACAAGAAAACAAACGACCTCATCTTTGATTATGTCTTAACACAAGTAATCATGATGAAGCCAATGGGAATTATTGGGTTGGACCATTCGAAGCAACAGAAATTCCAAGCATTCTACTAATGAAGCAGCTAAGCTATTCTTCAGCTATTTTCACAGCCCTTTTACCAATATTATTGCCACGAAATATATCGACAAAGGCTCCAGGGATACTCTCCACACCATGGGAAATGTCCTCAATGACCTTCAATTTTCCAGCCTTGAGATGTTGCGCAGTAGTCGAGAAGAAGTCTTCGTATACATCGAACATGTCCAGCGACAAAAATCCTTCTATTTTGATTCTTTTATATATTACCTGGATCATGTTAGGAAAGCCTCGTTTTGCACCGTATGCATATTCCGACATGGCTCCACAAACTGCTACTCGACCAAAAGTATTCATGTTCTCGACAACTGCTTCTAGCATTTCACCTCCGACATTGTCAAAGTATATGTCAATCCCTTCAGGAAAACACCTGATGATGATAAAAAAAATAATCATGTGTTTGTGTCCTAGGTAAAAATTAACATTTGTCGAGAACATCAAGTTATATCTATGTTTACTGAAAAGATACTCGGACGAGCTAACTACTAAAATGCATTATTAAGAGAAATCATTTTAACCTTTGCAAAGCAGCGCTCAGATTAGTTTCTTCTTTGTAGTTGAATGCTTCATCGAACCCAAGCTCCTCTTTCAGAAATTTGACCTGCATAATGAATAAAATTGTGTGTACTTGTGCCAAAATTACACATATTTTTTTTTTAAAAAAAAAAGAAAAAAGAAAAAAAGAGGCATACTTATCCTGAGGGACGAATTTAGCTTTGGCTTGGGCTGGGCTCAGGCCTGTTATTTTTTTTTAATAACTATAAGTTTGAGAAAAAATGTATTGTATTTTTAGCTCGTCTCAATAAACCAACCCACTAACCCATCAAAATAATTCAGTTATTGATTTAAGTCCAAAGAGTACAAACACCACTCTAATAAAATATTATATATTGTTGATCGATCTTTTTCACTAGGTAGTAACCCACAAAGCGCCACTATACACAAAACTCCAATCAAATAAATTAGCCATGGCCATGCCCATCCTCTGAATATCAGAACAATGAATTTTAGAGGAACATAATAAAAAGATATTATACAAGAAAGAGACTACCTTCAAGAAGACGTTTTATTTTCTTCTTTAATAGTAAGTTATATATTTAAACTCCTTATTATATATTTGTTTCATTTGTCTAATTGTCTTTATCTATCTTCCCATTTTTTATGAGCTATTTAAAGTACGTTTTAATATATAGTAATTGCTCGAATCATTTAGTTGCAATTCTTCCTTTATTGATTGTGTATGAAGTAGTAATTGTATGTGTGTGTGTGTGTGTGTGTGCGTGCGTGTATGTTTTTTTTAATCTTTCATATATCCTCTAGTTTGGTTGTTATATATCATATTTGGATTTAAATTTATGATGTGTAGTCATTTTTATTTTGCTAATAACTATAAAAAATCAAATTAGTTGTATTGTGAAATCTTTAGAAATTCACATAAAGCACCAACATTCGGGCAAGAAAGGAAACACCCCATTGATATTATCGTTCTTTAGAAAACGGAATCGATGGGATCGACGTCAAACTAGTGAAGGCACATCAAATACGGTACAAAATGAGCATAAAGAATATTGTTTGTAAAAGCTCGTTAAGCACAACTACAGTGAATATTTAAAGAAAAAATATTATGTAATTTTTATGAAACTTAGTTTAAAATTCTAGCTCAATCGACTCTTGATTTCTGTATTTGTCCCTGCTTGTGCGCTATTAAGTGTTCTTGTACTATTGCTTTTTTTATTACACATTACATGAAATATATATATATATATATATATATATATATATATATATATATANTTACAAATAACTTTTAACAGGGTTCTTGTAAATGTCGAAAAATAATTAACAAAAATTGGACCTGAACTACGACTGACACTCATTTTCAAGAAAATCTGTAATTAACTATATGCAGAGACGTCGTTGTACAAGGTAAAGATGCATATATACCTAGAACTCCAGCATAATAGGAGAGTGGAAATCCCATTTTATTATCCAATTTTTGCAACATGGGCTCAACGCCACTTGGTACAATGGTATACTGTGCCCAGCTCAGCATTAATCCCAACACAAGATCGCCTCTTTTAAAATCTGGATGCACAGAATCCAACACTCTTCCCACTCCAACCGAAGGAATAGCCTGCCAAAATTGAGAAAGCATTTTATGATAAGCTGGTGATGGTTTTGTGCAATTTAATTATTCCAAGTAACCACATTTTTGTGTTGGGGAAAATTTCAAAACTAGTCTCACAGGTATAGAGGGTGACAATTTTGGTCCCGACGGAATGCAGAAAATATGAATAGTCCCATAACTTTTAAAAAATGATCAAAAGTAGGACTTTTTCACCGGATTTACTATTTTCGGCCCGGAACGCCACGTGGCATCCGACATGTTCATATTTTTTTACAAGTTGTGGGACTAGTTTTGAATTTTCTGCATTCCATCGGGACAAAAAATGTCACTCCTCTATACTTGTGGGACTAGTTTTGAATTTTTCCCTATCTAGAAAAAAATTCAAAACTAAGCCACGTGTGCGCCACGTGTGCCAGCGTGTAAAAAATAAGCCACGTGTGCGCCACGTGGTGTTCCGGGCCGGAAATAGTAAATCCGGCGAAAGAGTCCTACTTTTGATCATTTTTTAAAAGCTGTGAGACTATTCATATTTTGTGCATTCCGTCGGGACCAAAATTGTCACCCCCTATATTTGTGGAACTAATTTTGAATTTTTCCCTGTCATACATCAAGAAGTACTTAAAGGTACCTGTCCAGGTAAAATGCGAGAAAGCGCTGGCAGGATTTCATGCGAACTGTTTTGGCTCTTCATGAGATTTAGTTGATACGGGTCAACGGAGACGTACAAGTTTTTAACTATTAGGAGAGTATTGTGGTCGTTCTTATCGATTTTCAATGGCACCGTCTCCTCCCTAACGGCAAAGTGATTAACATCGGGAGCTCCATCAATATGGCATTTTGTGACCACGAACTTGTTTGAAGTAACTTCCATTTTTTGTTTCTTTTTTGGGAAAGTCGATCGAGCTGAATGAGGCTGGTGGAAATCAATACAATAGAAATGTTGTCTTTAATACAGCTATTTATGATAAGATGATGATGAATATAATAACTAACAGTTGTGATGTAATAACAAGGCTAGCTAGTTCCATCCATGTGCATGTCTGAATTAATAACGAGTCCTCGCATTCGATGTGGGATTTAAATAACTAAGCTGCCAGATCGAAAGGGTTGACTTAATTAATAACTGTTGCAAATGGATGATTGATATATTATATGGAACGAGACGAATTATTATTCGTTT